CGTTGTTGTTATCATTATAGGATCAGGCTGCAATGAAAAAAAAATGTCCTGGCTCTGGAATAATAATAATAATAATAATAATAATAATAATAATAATAATAAGTATGCAGTGTTTCTAATCAACAATAAAATACAAGGGGTGACCAGTAATCTATATATGTTAAAGAACACATTTAATTAAAATAATTATCTGATATTAGAACATAGTACAAAATTCTAGAAGCAAAAAACAAACAAACAAACAAACAGAGAATGCTGTACCAAACAGACTTCTGGAAGCACAGAATACAAGCTATAGGCAATGCAAACAATGCTGTTTGGAGTCCATGGCCTGGATTAACAATGTAGGATTCATTTAAGTTCAAAAGGTCAAACCCTGGGGAAGACACAGTTTAAATTAGCTCATGGTTGTAAAAAGGAACCTTGACCTATTTAGTACTCATTGTATAAGGACAATATATGTCACCCATTGTTATAAGGAATTTTATTAGGAGACTATACAATGTTTTAACATGGAAGAAAAACTAGGAAAATTGTGTATAAATTCCTATTGAAATACTGTAGGATAAACCCTTAATTAAGAAGACTTAAATTATCTTTCTCTAAAAAAAATAATATGAAATTGAAAAAAAATAAAACAAGTACTCCAATTTTAATTAAATTAATGAAAGTATCAAGATTAGTTTCCAGTTTGAACATTACCAGAACGGTATCAACAACATAAAGAACATCTTGGAAATAATCAATGCCAACCATTGTAATAATTTAAAATAATCGAAATATCCAGATATTTTTTAGGAGACACTGTCACTAGGTAATGGCACATTCCATTAGCTATCTAAAAAGACGTATTAGCTGCTATGTGTGCTTTGTACATAACATTAAAGCACGCCCCAACATCCACAAAAAACTTTTTTCCATAATTCCATTTAAATGGGACATAAGCATACATGTATGCTGACAAAAGCAGGGGAAACATGTCCAGTTCAAATTATGTAAATAGGGACACTTATCACTCTAAAGTGTAGCATAGTTAAATGTGTTTTAAATATTTACTACCCATAGTCTCCACCTCCTGAAAGAGAATATTGCCCACAACATAAAATCCCCTCATGCAAAATGAAGGTAGATAGAGAAACTATCTGTCACTCCAACTCTCAATATTACAGGGTTATTCAATAAAGTCCAAATGGCTTTGGGCAGATTTTGCAGAGAAGGCTCCAAATGACCTTGAATTTTTTTTTATTTTATTTTTTTAGTTACATGTGTAACTCAGAGACTTGCGTCCATCAAGTTCAGCCTTCCTCACATATGTTTTTGCTGTTGATCCAAAAGAAGGCAAAAAACCCAGTCTGAAGCGCTTCCAATTTTGCCACAAACTAGGAAAAAATTCCATCTTGACCCCAAAATAGCAGTCAGATGTCTCCTTGGATCAAGCAGCTATTACCCCACTAATTAGAAATTATATCCCTTTGGTCTGGATTTATGCATTACTGAATGCTGCTGGATGGCTGTAATCCTGTTAAAATCTGGGTCCGGATGCTTTAAACCTGGGCCTAAATTTTAAAAATTGAATGCAATAGCTCATTGGCTGAGAGCAAACCTGACTCTGATTTGGTGGGAGAATTATATTGTAATATATACTTTGTGAGTGTTGTGTGGGTTAAGGGCATTATACATTAAAAAAGTGACAATGATTCCGAAATATCTTCATTAAGTTTGGGGATTTCAGTAATATGCTCATGCATGAAGTAAATCAAAGGATTTCTCGTCACCTACTTTTCACTTTTAAACCATCAGGTAGTAAAAATGTATAAAGTACTGTGTTGAGATCTCTAGGCCTCGTAATAACCAGAAGTTTAACAGGATTTCAGTCCCACTTTACTTTCAGCACATTTGTGGGAGGTAAAAAAAAAAAAACAGTACAGGGGGCAGGGCCTGACTAACATGATGACAAGATACAATTCCAGAAAGCGCCTTAGGATTTACTGAAATACCTTCACTTACCAGCTCTTCTGGCTTGCGATCTGTGGCTAACAGCATACTCTTGGACCCACAAATCATCTGACCGGTCTTGGAGTGCTTCCCGCTATTTTTTCCAGCCACAGTTTTACTGTCGCTACTAGTGTGGCCTAGCAGGAGCTGCAGGAGGGAGAGGTGGCTGATCTCCCGACCCTGCGCACACAGGATCTTATTAGAATAAAGCTGGAACCCAGCAACCTCCCCCGCCCTTGGAACGATAGTCACCAGAGAGAATCCCTCTACCTTATACTGACTAGACCCAATATTCAAAGCATTTTGGCAAAAGCTGAGAATTAAGCAGCACAGACTTGCTCCTCGAATTATACACTCAGCTATGAGTCCACCCCAGAGGTCAACCAGCAACATCCGCCACTCAGGTGGTGCAGCTAGGGCATCGAAGGCCACATCGGCTGGCACTGCAGAAGGTTCTACACAACCATTCACCTGAGCTGAAGATCAATAGGGAAAGGTTGAGGTTACCACAGAGGGATGAGCCTATTGCCTGCATTCATGACATCTGGCCTGAAGACCTGTACAGTATTTAGGGACTGTGTCCTGCCCATGATGGGCATAGGCTGATTGACACGCTGAGGGCATTGTAGCACCACACTTCACTATTTGCCTGAATTATTACAGTTGTCTTTTCTGTTTACTGTTTTACTGCAATTACTTATACTTTTTCTTTCCTAACAAACATACTTCAAATATGGACACAATTCTTTATGTCATAACAGATAATGGACATAGATCATTGGGAGCACCCATGGCTATAATGTTCTGTGGTTAACCAATTCTTAAGCAAACTTGATTTTATACATTAAAAAGAGGCAGATTTAGCTAGGAGTTTATATCTTGTGTTTACTATTTATTAGGTATTCATGTTATGATTCAAGCTAAACTACTGTACATATATGATTGATTGTTATAACTCCTTATTGTGTGAAATATTTTGTTCATTGCCTCAATAAAAGCGTGATTGACAAAAAAAAAAAAACCCAGTACAGATGCACTTGAAAAGTGTCACCCCTCCCCCCATCCCCACCTGATGTGTGACCAGATAAAAAGAGGTAACAGGATTAACTACTCCAACATATCACATTGGCTGTTATACTGTATACTTATAACAGGAAGTGTGAACTACCCTCAGGGTTATTTCCGAAGGTGAAAATTGTCAGGAATCAAACAATGTTATTCACTAAAGTAAGAATTGTCAGGAATTCTAAGTGATTTCAAAGTGAATTTCAAATTCAAATTGGATACATTGCTGACTTGAAAAACTTTTCCAAGCAGCTGTTCTCTAGATGTGTTAGAATGTTGGACCTAATGGATGATTCTGTCCCGCCTAGTGCTATTAAAAAATGGAATATTGAATTAAAAATAAATATAGAATTATCTGAATGGCTATCTACCCTACAAAAAATCAATAAATATGTCCACTCCTTTGTATTGATAGAAACACATTTCAAGTTGGCTAATCAATGGTATATGACGCCAACGAAAATAGCTAAATTTGATGTATCTAGAGACACAAAGTGTTGGAAATGTAGAGAGGAAAAAGGAAACTATATTCATATGTGGTGGTCATGTAAACAAGTGATTGTTGTATGGCAGTGGGCTCAATTTATCATCCATACACTGTGTGGTGTTAAAATGTCTCTAAAACCTGAAATAATGTTATTACATTACAAATGGCCAAAATTAAATAAAATAAATCCATTTTTAATTATTCATTGTTTAATGGCCTGCAAAATAATAATAGCAAGGAATTGGAAGGGAGATACCCCTTTTAACATCAAATTAATAACAATTCAGTTGGTTTACCAACTTAAAATGGAGAAGGATCATTGCAAGCTTCTGGATGATAATTTGAGCCTATGGGAAAACTGGGAATAAAAATTACTGCAATTGTAATATTAATATCATTCGAAAAGAGATAGAGAAGTTGGAAGTCAGTAGAACTCTCGAGGGGAGGTGGGTTGTTTTGTGTTTTTTTGTTTGTTTTCTTTGTCTTTGTGCTTATGTGTATGAATTTGAATGTGTTTTAAATACTTTTTTGTACAATGTATTTATGGTGAAAAATCTGATAATAAAAAGAGATATTTTGGCCTAAATTTAAAATTTACTTTGAATGCCCTTAGAATTCCTGACAAGTCTCACTTTAGTGAATAACTCCATACAAAATGAACAGTTGTTCATGCAAACATAAATGTCTGTGTACTCACAGGTTCATTCACAAAAGCAGACTTTAATTTGAGGTGAAATAATGTACACTGTATATGGGGACATACTAAAAGGAATGACATATTGGAATGCCCATAGACAATAATGGAAGTGAACGGAATGCCCATAGAGAATAACGGAAACAATATTTCAATTAGAGACAAAACATATCAAATAAATCTTTTAGTGGCATACTCTCCAAAATCAGTGGCAATTTTTAAAATTGGGATTATCATTGTTTTTTATTGAATGACAAGGGTGAATGACTAAAGAGAATGCCCATAGACTATAATGTGAAGCAACACATAAACTCATTTGCAGGCAAATCTGTGTTACATAGCAAATTAACCTTTAACACAGGTGTTCCTCAAGTACAGCAGCAGATTGTTAAATTAAAAGTAACTGGAATTATAGCTCTTTTCTATGGAATGGCAGGTGAATGATACAATGGAATGCCTATAAAGTATAATGGGAAGCAATATGTGACTTGGAATCTGAACAACGAAATATATCAAGTAAATCTTTTACTGGCATACTCTCTGAGTTCAGTGGTTATTTTTAAAATTGAGATTAAGTGGGATTATTATTGTTTTCTATAGAGTGACCAGGGTGAATGACACAGTGGAATGCCCATAGAATATAGTGTATATCAACTGCTTTGTAGGAAAATTTGCAAGACATGGCAAGTAGTGATGTCCCGAACTGTTCACCGAACGGTTCGCAAACGGTTCGCCACGTTTCGCCGCGAACTCCAGTCAGCAGACACATTCCAGCCAATCAGCAGCAGACCCTCCCTCCCAGACCCTCCCACCTCCTGGACAGCATCCATTTTGAAGCTGCATTCTTAGTGAGCTGTCCAGGAGGTGGGAGGGTCTGGGAGGGAGGGTCTGCTGCTGATTGGCTGGAAAGTGTCTGCTGACTGGAGTCCGTGGCGAACCGTTCGCGAACCGTTCGCGAACAGTTCGGGACATCACTAATGGCAACTTAAACGGGACAACTTTCTCATTCAAAGATTTTGCTTTTAAAGAGATAATTGTCCCGTGCTAGATTAGGAAAAAAATAAGTAAATATGATATTTTTTCATATTTACCAGTTTTGTCTTGCTGCACTTTCCATATCCCTTCTTCAGGGCCAATCCTGAACAGGTGCACAGCTAACTGTGGACAGAGGCGCATCGAGGTGCCAGGGCCTGCCTCTCGCAATAGGCCCAGCTCCCTCACATTCGGTTTCGCCTCTTATATTAGACACCCTTATCACACAAGACACCTGGAATTCCCACTCCCTGTCCCAAGGTAACTTACAGGGAGGGGGAACAAACTAGTGTTTTTTGGTTTTTTTTCTTCACCTCCTAACCCCCTACATGAGTCACTAACCTACCATAACAGCCCCTAAACTGCCACTTCAGCCATAACCACCCAACTACAGTCCCATACCCCCAACCCCACTGCAGCACCTATCCAACACTACAGTCCCTACCCGCAAATGTAGCCCAGATCCCCCACTACAGTCCTTAACCTCCACTACAGCCCCTACCTTCTGTACTACAGTCTCTATCCCTCCCACTACAGCCCCTATTCCCTTACCACAGTCCCTAACCCCCACTACAGTCCCTATTTCCCAATTATAGCTCATATCCCCACACTACAGCCCTTTTCTCCAATTGCAGCCATTTCCCAATTCAGCCCCTTACCCTCGTACCACAGCCCATATCTCCGCACTAGATATCCTATCCCCTGCCCCCATTTCAGCCCATACCCTCCACAACAGCCCAAACCCTCCTACTCCCTGTCTTCCCAATATAGCCCCTAATCATCCTACTACAGTCCCTACCCCCCACTACTACATTTTCAAGCAGTTTTAACACTGAAAAGGGTCCCTTGCCATCTACAGCCCAGCACAGCCACTACTGTAGGTGTGGCTAAGACAGAGATTATACATACCATACCTTCCTGACATACCAGTTCATACCAGCTGACACTCTCAGTCAATCACAGCCACCCATTTCTGCTCACGCTAATGCTTCCTCCTTAGTCCAAGAAGCACCGAAGGGTGAACCTGCTGGGGACTCTTATTTAGCATTAAAACATTAAAAATGGTTTAAGTGGAACCTGTCCCGCCACCCCCAAACTGAACTTGTCTTCCCTCCAAACCTATTAATAATAAATAAATTATTTGGCCTAGACTCTATGCCGGCCAAACCAGTGGTTGTTACAAAAGTGTAAGATATCGCTGCATGGGAGTGAAGGGTTAAGTAACGCAGGACACATTTTGCACAGGTATGGGTATATTCACTGAACAAATATCTGGCCTAATAGAAAGCATTCTTAAGCCTCTAGTTATTAAGACTGATAGCTTTATTCAGGACACCAAAGACTTTCACAATATATTTAACCAGATAAATAAACTACCTAAAAAATCCTATACTGGTAACCATGGATGTGGAATCCTTATACAGTAACATACCACATAAGGATGGTATTGAGGCCTGCATTACATTTCACTTGTCCCAGAAACCATCACATAAATTTTCAATTATTGCCCAGCTTATAGATTTCTTACTCACACAATTATTTCAGTTTTAATAACAATAACTATATATATATTATCGTTACATCAATGTTAATTTCATAATATGAAAAATAAATAACTCATTCAATTAAAGCGGCACTGTCATGCCGGACTTACCTTTCCTCAATCTCTTCCTCTTCTCCCCCTCTCTCAGGATCTGTTCTTCTTTTCTTCCTGTCTTCTTTAGAATCATAAGACAAAGTAGGGACTCTTTGCCTTATGGAGGTTTCCTCCGCTTGACCAGCTCTGACCAGCGGAGGAGCAAAGTGTGCTTCATTTCCGCTGGTCAGAGCAATTTTCCCATAATTCTTACCTTTCCTCTGTGATCTGGCGATGCTTCCTGTCAAAAGAATTTTCCCACGCTGTGTAAAATGACACAGAGCACTGTGATTGGATGGATTTCAAGCCATCCAATCACAGTGCTCTGTGTCATTTTACACAGCGTGGGAAAATCCTGATGTAAGTTTTGCCATTGCACGGAGGAGAGAGCCTAACCCAGCATTAAGGGACATCGGCGCTGTATTTAGGTAAGTGGCTGAAGGGCTTTTTAACCTATTCCGCCCCGCAGGAGGAAGGGGGGGTGGGCGCACCTTTTAAGCTTATAGTGCCAGGAAAACAGGTTTGTTTTCCTGGCACTATTGGATCCCTTTAATGTAGACTCTGGATTTCTAACACACTACCAAAACTTCATATAAACACACATCTTAATGTCTTCATCCCCCATATTGTAGTGTGGCCAAGCAGCAGCACCTGCTTGATATATATATATAGTATTGATATAGTTATTTTCAATACTTCCGCTTCACCTTTATTTGATCAATGTATATATATATATATACACATATATGTTTGTGGTGTAATGTGTATGGCTAGGGGCTGTAGAGAGTGTGTGCATATAGGGGCTGTTGTGTGTATAGGTGACGTAGTGTGTTTAGGGGCTGCAGAGTGTGTGTTTAGGGAACGAAGTGTGTGGTTTTCCATACAGGGGATCTAGTGTGTGCATAGCGAATGCAGAGTGTGAGTATAAGGGATATAGTGAGTGGAGGGGTGCAGTGTGTGTGTGAGGGGCGCAGTGTGTGTTTGTAAGAGAGAGGGTTGCAGTGTGTGGGAGGGGTGCTGAGTTTGTGTCAAAGAGGTGCTGAGTACGTGTGAAGGGTGCTGTGTGTGTGTAAGCACTTTGTGTGTGTGAGGCGTGCTCTGTGTGTGAGGGGTGCTGTGTGTGTGAGGGATGCTCTGTGCGTGTGACGGGTGCTGTTTTTGTGAGGGGTGTTCTGTATGTTTGTGATGGGTCGTGCTGGGTGTGTGTGTGAAGGGTGCTGTGTGTGACTGTGATGGTATAGGCCGAGCCTATATATTGGGAGTTGGGGGATAGGAGCAAATAAGCATTTTTTAAAATTATAATTATTTTGAAAAAATACAGAAATAACCTTTATGAACCTTACCTTTTTCAAAGGGAGGGTATATTGCCATGGTAGTCTGGTAGGTGAGCAGCTCTAGCTTGCCTGCAGCTCCTCTGGTTCTGAGTTCAGTCCTCCCGTGAGATCCTTGGAGGGTTGCCATGGTAGCCCGCGGCAATGTTCCGAATTGCCAAGCTTGCAGGAGGAACCTTCTGCCTGCCGGCTCTTCCTTCCCTCCCTCCCTCGCCGACAGCCGCATCAAAGTGACTGTGGGCTGATTAAAGGGACACTATAGTCACCTGAACAACTTTAGCTTAATGAAGCAGTTTTGGTGTATAGAGCATGCCCCTGCAGCCATAATGCTCAATCCTCTGCCATTTAGGAGTTAAATCCCTTTGTTTATGAACCCTTGTCACACCTCCCTGCATGTGACTTGCACAGCCTTCCATAAACACTTCCTGTAAAGAGAGCCCTATTTAGGCTTTCTTTATTGCAAGTTCTGTTTAATTAAGATTTTCTTATCCCCTGCTATGTTAATAGCTTGCTAGACCCTGCAAGAGCCTCCTGTATGTGATTAAAGTTCAATTTAGAGATTGAGATACAATTATTTAAGGTAAATTACATCTGTTTGAAAGTGAAACCAGTTTTTTTGTTTTCATGCAGGCTCTGTCAATCATAGCCAGGGGAGGTGTGGCTATGGCTGCATAAACAGAAACAAAGTGATTTAACTCCTAAATGACAGTGAATTGAGCAGTGAAATTGCAAGGGAATGATCTATACACTAAAACTGCTTTATTTAGCTAAAGTAATTTAGGTGACTATAGTGTTCCTTTAATGAAATCTTTGATCTCCATACCGGCCCATGAAGGCACACAGCAGGGTCTGCGCTTGAATAGCGCTGGCCCTGCATGGGTCGGCAGGGTAGATCATGTGATCTTCCCTGTCGGCCCATGGCTATCACGGCCCACCAGGAATTTGCCCGGTTTGCCCGATAGCCAGTCCCGGCCTGGTTTTAAGTGTTATACTCTACCAGACTGATCAGTATTGTTTCAGACTTGAAGAAGAGAGGAAAAACTCTCAAAAGCTTATCTTTTAGGTATTACACCAGTCCAATAAAAAGGTATCATTGCATACTGCAATACTCTGGTATTTTGGCATCTTGTCTACTGGACTAATACTGCTAATCCTATCTAAACTATTGTTATTTACTATGTTGTGGTTCATACAGAGCTTACTTATAGTTTGCGTGTTTGTAGTGAATGGACATCACAGCTAGAGTTTTAAACACCCTAGAGGTAAGAGTGTTACTAAAGGCCACCTGGCACAATAACAACTTAATTTAGATGAAGTGGTTTTCGTATCTGGAGTGTTCCTTTAAATACATCCTCTTTAATGTAAGATGCATATGACAGGGATGTTTCTTTAAATTAAAATGAAGGGGTTTATATTTCTGAAGCCAAAATCTGGTAACCTGACCTTTTTGTTTCCTTTACAAAGTGTAAATGGCAATATTAGCCATAATTAAAGTCCAGCCCAAAGTGCCTTGAGGTTGTGTTGCCATAGTAATTGGTAGGGCATATTGCTTAGCAACAACAAGTCTAACTTCATGATTTTTCCACCAACAGTGCGTATTCTCTAAATTTATTGAATGGAACCTAATCTTGAAAGATCCGCAGATAAAGACAAAGTGATTATCTTTTAGTTGCTTCAATGGAAGACAGAGTTCTTGAGGAAAAGTGAATGGAGAATAATTTACATTAAATTGGTGCAATTCCTGTTTTCATGTGTGTCTTTTAAAGACTAAGGTTAGATGAAAAAAGAAAATGAACACTGCAAAGAGTGGCCACCAGTATATGGCTTTGTGATTTTGATTTTCTGTTCCCACAGTGATTACAATAGAAGTGATAAAATATGATTATTCAAAGATGAGGCTAAATTTCTCACATGGTA